TGAGTTTCATTGAAACTTGAAATGGGCTACTTCCAAGTTGATTAATAGCTTTCCTTCAGAAGAAATCTCTTTTGGGCTAAAGAAGGACCTTTATCACAGGTTTGTGAAGACCTATTTTCAACAAAAACAATCAAAATGGATATAGCCTAACTGTATACTGCTATTGCATTCACTCTTGTGCTGGCCGGCTTTACCAAAATTAGTTTTATTATAGTAAAATAATAAAGGGAAACCTTGTTGGCACAATGCTGCAGTATATGCCCTACACCCGTGATGATGAACCTATGTAGCATGTGCTACAGGTGGCATGCAACACCCTCTGTGGGCCCGCAAGCCGTTGCCCCAGTTCAACCCCCACACGCATGTGTGTGTGCCTCCCCCTGGCCAGCTGGTTGTCGAATCTCTCCCGGGTGGAAGTGAAGGACGTGCGTGGAGCTGTGCGCACAAGCACAGAGACCCGTGTGTGCATGCACCAGGGGCGGGGCGCATGTACGGGGGGTGCATATGCGTGCTTTGGGCACTCGGTCCAGAAAAGGTTAGCCATCACTGCCCTAAACTATAGTCACAGTTTAAAAAACTCTCAACGTATACAAGTATTCCCATGTTAAATTAACATTTCAAATCTGAGTAAAACATCTGCTTATGTTGATATTGGCACAAATGTACTGCTTAACCACAATTAAAGTTGAAATATATCTTCATTTTGGGAAAGGAATATGCATTCCTGAGATTGGCTTCCAGTTTACTGTTGATAATTATCAGGGTGCTAAGTTTATGTCTTTTTAGAGAAATCTTTTTTAAAAAATGGCAAAAACATTTATATGATTTGAAGAAAAACCAACACATATATTGTACATTAGGCATTTTGGATGGTGCTAGAGCAAATAAATTAATAAATCTATACCATTTCTGGAGGTTTTCCCCCCCCTCCCTCAAATAATTTCCAAAATTGCAAGAAGATGCATTATAATTCTCTTATTAATATATTAATTCCATTTCCTTTTCTATAACTAAAGCTTATTTTGTTCTGTGGTTTGTAATAAGAATATTGTCATATTCTACTCTAAGCATATTGGGAAAGAACATAGTAATCCACTACATCCCTTTTGCAGATTGTTTGATTATCACTTTGGAATAGCAAAGAAGAGTAGATCATCAAGATACCAAATTCAGTATTTGATGTACATATTTTCTAGATCTATAGTTTGCAGCATTATTGAAGTGGGAAAACTTATCTCACTCAACTGTATTATTCCGCAAAGAACTATTGGGTTTACTGCAGTGGTGTGATTCAACCAGTCTAACAATCAGTTTGCTTAGGGAGAAAGTTTGAGTTTGAGTTTTATTGGTTTTGTATGCCCCCCACTCCCGAAGGACTCCGGGCGGCTTACAATAAAACAGGGAGAGGGGATAAATAAGACA